TTCACCCCCCATCCCTATAGGCCCCCTCCCCATCCCTGCTCCTCTATCCACCCCCCCATTCCTATGGGCCCCCTCCCCGTCCCTGCTCCTCTATCCACCCCCCCATTCCTATGGGCCCTCTCCCACTGCCCTCTCCTCTCCCTTTCCTCTAGCCTCCTGACTCTTCTTCTCCATCTCCCCCTATTTCCCCATCCACTACCCTCCCCAACTCCCTCTCCTCTCATCCCCTGCCCCTTGCCCTATTCCCCCACTCCATGGCCCTCCCCTCTATCCCAACCCTATGCACACTAAACACCCACCCCTTCTCCCCTCCCCATCACCCCTTCGCCCATCCACCCCATACCCCTGCCCCTTCTCCCCTCCCCATCCACCCCATACCCCTCCCCCCTGCCCCTACTCCCCACCCCATACCCCTCACCCTTGCCCCTACTCCCCACCCCATCCACCCCTCACCACGACCCCCTCCTTGTACCTCCCCTCCCCCCAGTACCTCATGCCCGCCGCAGCTCCGGGCTCCCCGCGCGCGCACACACAGAGCCGACGGCTCCCCGCCCGCCCGGCGCAGCCCAAGCCGGCAGCTACCAGTGTCCACCCGCGGACAAGGGGGGGGCGGGGCTGAGCCGCCCTCTCTGTCCAATCACAGAGCGGGGGCGGAGCTGGCAGACGTTTACGGCCAATCATTCAGCCGCTAAGGCGTGAGAATTCCATCTAATCTGCCCAATCACAAAAAGGGAGAGGAGGGCCGCCTCTCCCGCTGTGACCAATCAGCGTGATAACGGCGGGCCTTGCCGCCTGCTGTGTCCACTGAGAGGGCAGCCTTTGAAGGAAGGGCCGTCCCATTTCTGGGTTTGAAGGCCATTGCGCCGCAGGGTGCTCTGGGAGTTGTAGTCCTAATGGCTGGGTCATGCCAGGCCGCTGCAGGGAGTGGGCACGAAGCTGTGGGAGGTGTCTCCGCTCGCTGCGGCTCTGATGCGCCCCTCACCGCAGTGTCTGGGCCCATCGCACCAAGCCAGGGCTTCGTTGTGTGTGGCTGCAGCAGGACCTGGCTCCACCATGCATGTTCAGCCACAATTCTCCACTTGCCCCAGACTTGGAAGGAAGTTGCTCCCAGTGGAGCCTTGTGCAGCCAGAGAGCTGCTGGGGTCATGGGGGAGGGTCCCTTTGCTCTAGGCCGAGGCTGAGATCCCAACCCTGTTGTGCCAGGTGCACACATAGTAAGGGACAGGCCGTGTCCAGGGAGCTCACAGTCCACACAGACAGGGCAGTTAAAGACATGGGGTGAGATGGGCCAGGCTTCACCCTGCTGACAGGTAGTAGCACATCCCACTGCCACTCTGACCCCAAAAGCATTGTTGGTGCTGTTGCTAACAACAACAGAGAAGGGCTCAAACCAAACAATTCCGAGCTGCAAAAGTTGGTCCCAGCACCACATGTTGCAGCGTATAAATAACTAAAATGATGATGACTAATGATGCTCTGCACTTCTACAGTATCTGTCATCTAAGGCTCTTACAACAACACCAGGGAGGGAATGGGGATTAAACTGGCCACAGATAAACTTAGGCTGGAAATTAGAAGGCTTCTAACCATCACATGAGGGAGGTTCTAGAACAGCGTCCCAATGAGGACTAGTTTTAAAATGGAGTTTGGTATATTTATGAACGGGATAATATGAAAGAGCTGCCTGCGATAGCCGGGGACTGGACCTGATGACCAAGGAGGTCCCTTCCAGTGGTTGACTGAGGGTTGTCACTTGCCCAGGTTTTCCCAGGATCATCCCTTGTTTGAGGTAGCTGTCCTGGGAAAATCTATAAGGGGGCTCAGTACACTCTGGCAGCTGTCTAGGTTTATGGGTTTGGTCTCCAAATCATCCCTGATGTCCTGTTTTTTTGTACCTCAGAGGAGCCAACCCTACCCGTCCTTTGTTCCTAACACTGCACAAACAGCCATTCACTCATGGCATAAAGGAAAGGAGTACTTGTGGCACCTTAGAGACTAACCAATTTATTTGAGCACAAGCTTTCGTGAGCTACAGCTCACTTCATTGGATGCATACTGTGGAAAGTGTAGAAGATCTTTTTATACACACAAAGCATGAAAAAATGGGTGTTTACCACTACAAAAGGTTTTCTCTCCCCCCACCCCACTCTCCTGCTGGTAATAGCTTATCTAAAGTGATCACTCTCCTTACAATGTGTATGATAATCAAGTTGAGCCATTTCCAGCACAAATCCAGGTTTTATCTCCCCCCCTCCCCCGCCCAAACCCACTCTCCTGTTGGTAATAGCTTATCTAAAGTGATCACTCTCCTTACAATGTGTATGATAATCAAGGTGGGCCATTTCCAGCACAAATCCAGGGTTTAACAAGAACGTCTGGGGGGGGGGGGTAGGAAAAAACAAGGGGAAATAGGTTACCCATTTATTCTTTTATGTGTCAGCAATGCCCCTCTGCCATGCACATTGGTCAAACTGGACAGTCTCTACGTAAAAGAATAAATGGACACAATGAAACATCTTACTTTTAGGTAAGCTATTACCAGCAGGAGAGTGGGGTGGGGGGAGAGAAAACCTTTTGTAGCGGTAAACACCCATTTTTTCATGCTTTGTATGTATAAAAAGATCTTCTACACTTTCCACAGTATGCATCCGATGAAGTGAGCTATAGCTCACGAAAGCTTATGCTCAAATAAATTGGTTAGTCTCTAAGGTGCCACAAGTACTCCTTTTCTTTTTGCGAATACACACTAACACGGCTGTTAGTCTGAAACCACTCATGGCATAGGAGTCACATAAGACCCAGCTTGATTCTCAGACTTTAGGTGGACTGGAGACTAGAGTGCAGGAAATTTGGGTGGGGAGAAGGGATTCTCTTTTTGACATATAAAATGGGGCCCTTACTATGGGAGTGCAGGATGTGGGGTCCACACAACTGTAGCTAAGAAACATTAATTTAAAGGGGAACAGCAAAGTGTTGTTTAAATTGAGGATATAAGTGATTGATGCATAATATGGAGAGCATAAGCTGCCTATTAGCTAGAAATCAACATTTTTCCTCGCTGAATCAAACTGAGAGGGGATCCATGCTCTTAAATGACAGAAAGAAAGGTCTGTGGACTCAAACGGGCTTTGCCAACTCAAGAAATAGCTGAAGAGGTTCACATAATCTCCAACTCTCCAGTAAAATGTTAACTAAAGTGCAACACGCCTAATGTCCACCAGGTGTCAGTAGCTGCTAATATTTTAGAAAGGCCTGACAGCACAGTAATTAGGACGGGTATCAATTAGAGGTCCTGGAGTTTTCATTACAGTTTACAAGTAGCATACGTTTTTGTTTGGAGGCTGTGTTTTAGAACTGGGACCCTTATAACAATAATAATACCTATAAGAACATAAGAATGGGCCTATTGGGTCAGATCTATGGTCCATCTAGCCCAGTATCCTGTCTTCCAACAATGGCCGGTGCCAGATGCTTCAGAGGGAATGAACAGAACAGGGCAATTATTGAGTGATCCATCCGCTGTCATCCAGTCCCAGCTTCTGGCAGCCAGAGGCTTGGAGATCTGAGAGTCAAGCTGGGTTCTTCCTGGCTCATGGATCCCCAGCAGGATTAAAGATTCTGCAGCTGGAACGTAGCTGACAATGGCATGGATGATCCTTAAGCCAGAACAGATTCAGAGCTAGGATGGCTCTGCAGGTCTGCCCATAAAAGCTCGTTTCTGTCCACAGAGGCAGCAGCTATGACTCGGGAAGGGCTGCCACCTGAACTTGTACCAAAACTACAACCCTGCCTTGGAGTCCCACCTCTTGTTACTTCATTGTAGGTCTGTGTATGGACACCTATTTCACCTGTTCTGATTCGCTCCTGCCTTCAGCACACTCAGAAGAAGGCACTTTGACTCTGGGATAAGAGCACCCCTCCCCAGGGTTTGTCTACATGGACATTGCACCAGTCGAACTGATGGGGTCACACTGCAGCCACTTTTAGTTAAGCTGCTGCAAATGCATGCGTGGGCCCAGTGTTGGGCATCCTCAGCAGACGTGACCCTCATCCCCTCTATGAACCTGCTCACTCACCGCAAGAGCCAGCCTGAAAGAGGAGCAGGTGGGAGTGGGGAACGGGTCTGAGGAGATGGGGGCATTGGATGTTCAAATGGCAAATACGCTCACCCCTCAGTCCATTCAGCAGCATCTTTTAGCAGCGTGACTAGAACTTGGATCTCCTGATTCTTAGTGCAGAGCTTTAACCACTAGAGGTTGCTGTCACACTATTAGTTCAGCGAGTCACAGCTAGTTTTGTCGTGAAGAAGGGGCAGAAATGCTGCTGCGTGGTGTGGTTCCCCTCGGTGGCTCTAGGCCGCGCTGCATTCGGCCACTAGATGGGGCTATTTAAACAGTTTGACATAAAAATAAGAGTTTCCTGTCCTCAATGCCACTGTAGATTCTGCTCTGAACCCGACTGCATGGTAAGGCTGGTGTAGTGGAGGGCATTGGGCACCCCCTGCAGCCTCCCCCAGCCCCATTAGCCTGCAGGGCTGCACTGTCCTTGCCTGATGACACCTGTCCCCAAGTGCTAATGGAGAGGGTGCCCCAGGTCAGAGCACAGATTGGCACCCGGCCTGGCCAGCAACATAGTTCTCGCCCCGCCCAGAGACTGGCTATCAGCCATCTGCCCCCTGCAGACAGAGGTGCAGGTTGTAGACGCCATAATCTTGTGCCCGGCTCCAGGGACAGCAGTCAGACCTTGGAGCAAAGGCACTAATTTGGCACTTCCCTTTGCCGTTTGGGGCCCCCTTGTCCCATCCTCCCCACCTTCTGTTGAGCACAATGATGACCCTGCCCTGCCCCCACCAGGTCATTCCCCGACCCACAGCCCTCTCCCCTCATCACACATGTGCCCGCTTCCCCATGCTAGGCAGATTTCCTGGCCATGGACTCCAGAGCACCATGAACCCTGATGTTAGAGGATCACATGCTTTATTTCACTCGTCAATGCCCTGCTATACATTAACCCCCAGAACACACAGACTAAAACCCAGAGCCACAGCTGAGCTCCACCAGGGCACCAGCACCCCCGAGTGGGAGCAGACACTCCCTCGGGGTTAGGGGGAGCAGGCTGGAACACTCACTCTCAGCCCAGCTCCCACAGCGTTGTCTGTCCACGCTTCTTCCTTGAGACCTCCTCACCCGGCTCCCAAAGGGGCTGGTGCAGAAGGGCAAGCTGACCTCTGCCCTCGGCCCAGCCCCACTCCCCAGCACTAGGCAGGCATTGCTCAGGGGACGTCATAGTCTGGAATGGGAGAGTCCTCTCCCTGGCAGACACTTAGACCAGCTGCCCCGAGCTCTGACTGCTCACCTGGGACAGGCGTGGGGGCCTCTCGCCTCCCGCAGGACCATCTTGGAGTTTTGCAGCCCCTGGGTTTGAACTGTGCTCCCTGCTGGAGAGACCTGAAAATGCTTCCAAACAACCCTCTGGCCCCCATCACCGCACACACACAGCCCGGTGTAGGACGGCAAGGGCCAGGGTCTCAGAACCTTGGGGCGGAGTCTCTGGCAGGCTCCTTTACCGGCAGCATTGGGAAAGGTGGTGGCATTTATCCCCACAGCCGAGTCTTGCCCAGGTGCGCTGGGCACTGTGGGGGTCACTTCAGACAGAGCTTTATTGGCTGGCTGGCCCCAGCTGGCCCCTGATGGCAGCTTGCCTCCTGCCGTAACACAGACTCCTCCGCCTGCTGACCCCACTCCTCCGCCTGCCCTTCCTCCCCCCAGCCTTCCTCCTCCTCCTCGCTGTCGGAGTCCTCATAGAGGCTGATGGTGGCTTGCACAGGGAAGTTCTCCAGCAGCTTCTCCCCCTCACTGTACAGGTAATCGAAGGATTTGGAGCGGGGCCAGAAGAGTCTGTGGGGAAAACATGCTTGACAAATACAGGTTCCTTTGCTTCCTCTTTGGAAAGCCCAGGGGTGTGAAAGAGGCACCACATCCTGCATGGGGCCCAGCACTGGGCTAGCAGGGGGTTGCAGGTCAGGAGTGAGAGGCATCAGCACAGCTGCGTGTGGGGCTGCAAGGCAGCCTTGCGGGGTCTTGGCAGACCTATGGGGCAAAGGCAGGGCGGGACTGGCCAAGCACGGGGGCACTGCAGGGCTGGCCAGTGGGGCATTGGCCGAGCCAAGTGCACGAAGTTGACACTGCACTCTAGTGAGCACCATGAGCACTGGTTACCCGCCCCAGCGAACAGAAACAAGCAGCCTGCCTGCCATCACTGTGGGATGCACGTACCTGACGGGGTGCCGGAACAGTGCTGATGCCTTGCCAGAGCCACCATCCACCATTGTCTCGCTGCCACGGGCCTTGGGAAACACAGAACAGGAATTCGGATGCATGCCTTCAGCACCTACGCTGCAACCTCCCCCCAGCATGAGGGATGGGGGCAAGTTAGGATCCCTTTGGGGGCTGATGGGATTCCAGGGGCAGGGATGGCGGATGCACTGGGAGAGCCCAGGGATCTCCTGCTGGGAAAAACAGGATGTAACTAAGCAAAGGAAAAGTTAGTTTGACTAGCAGGAAAGATTGGCCTGCCAGTGGGATCTCTTGGGCCATGGGATCATCTGTCAAGGGAAGAAGGAGCAGCTCCGGCACACAGGACCCACCAGCTTAGATGAAAGATCAGCCATTGTTGTTTGCAGTGCTGTTGTAGCCGGGTTGGCCCCAGGAAATCAGAAAGACAAAGTGGGTGAGGTCATGTCTTCTATTATCTTAATATTTCTCACCAACAGAAGTTGGGCCAATAAAAGATATGACCTCACCCACCTCATCAGACTAGATCAGAGACTAGGTCCATATGGCCTGTCTCTGGCAGGGGCCAGCAGTCAAAAAAGCAAACAGAACGCTGGTAATCATTAAGAAAGGGATAGATAATAAAACCGAAAATATCATATTGCCTCTATATAAATCCAGGGTACACCCCCTCCACCCCCCCACTGTTCCTCAGACGTTCTTGTTAACTACTGGAAATGGCCCACCTTGATTATCACTGCAAAGGGTTTTCTCCCCCCCTCACTCTCCTGCTGGTAATAGCTCATCTTAAGTGATCACTCTCCTTACAGTGTGCATGATAAACACTCATTGTTTCATGTTCTGTGTGTATATAAATCGCCTCACTGTATTTTCCACTGAATGCATCCGATGAAGTGAGCTGTAGCTCACAAAAGCTTATGCTCAAATAAATTGGTTAGTCTCAAAGGTGCCACAAGTCCTTTTCATCTTAAATACTGCCTGCAGATGTGGTCGCCCCATGTCAAAAAAGATATATTGGACTTGGAAAAGGTTCAGAAAAGGGCAACAAAAATGATCAGGGGTATGGAACAGCTTCCGTATGAGGAGAGATTAATAAGAGTGGGACTTTTCAGCTTGGAAAAGAGACGACTAAGGGGGGATATGATAAAGGTCTATAAAATCTTGACTGGTATTGAGAAAGTAAATAAGGAAGTGTTATTTACTCCTTCTCAAAACACAAGAACTAGGGGTCACCAAATGAAATTAACAGGCAGCCGGTTTAAAACAAAGAAAAGGAAGTATTTCTTCACACAACACACAGTCTTTTGCCAGAGCATGTTGTGCAGGCCAAGACGATAACAGGGTTCAAAAAAGAACTAGATAAATTCATGGAGGATAGGTCCATCAATAACTATTATCCTAGATGGGCAGGGATGGTGTCCCTAGCCGCTGTTTGCCAGAAGCTAGGAATGGGCGACAGGGGATGGAGCATTTGATAATTACCTGTTCTGTTCATTCCCTCTGGGGCACCTGGCACTGGCCACTGTCAGAGGACAGGATACTGGGCTAGGTGGACCTGTGATCTGACCCAGTATGGCCACTCTTATGTTCCGCACCAGCTGCTGCAGAGGGAGAACCTGCAAGCAGGCGGTGAGGGACTAACCTCCCTGCAGGGAGAGTGGCGTTCTTACTCCCACTAGTAAGAGTTGGGCTCATAGCCCGAACACGGAGGGGTCACACCTTTTGCTCTAGCTGATTCAATTTTTCCGTGGTGCCTATTCTAACCCCAGGATGTTAGTATGCTTTTATGAGCCCTGCTAAACTCTTGGCCTCTGTGATGCTTTGTGGCAGAGAGTCCCGCAGGCTAACTGTGTGGTGCCCAGCAGGAAAGTATTTCCTTGAACCAGTTCTGAATTTGCCTCCCACCAGCATCCCCTTGTACTTGTGTTAGACCCAGCCCCTTCACTGATGCATGCACTGTAGGGACCAGCCTGCATAGGCCAGAAGAGGAGGTGAGTCCTCTCCCAGCTCTGGAGTGTCCAGTGCTTTCCCTGTAGGTCAGGCAGGATAGGAGAGCAGCAATGGCATGAGATGAAGAGAGGGGACGTTTAGGCTGAATAGCAGAAAAAGGTTCCTGCTCGTGAGATGTGGGAGGCTGTGGGACCTGCTCCCAGCAGAGAGTGGGGAGCCCTGTTGCTAGCCCGGCTGGGACGGCAGCCCTGGCATGAGGAGCCAGCTGCCCTTCTGGGACTTTGTCGTCTCTCCTGGGATCTGTGGCTCCTTTGCCTATTGGTATTCTCCAATGAGGCAGGGCACATGAGCAGTGCAGGGAGTAGGGAGGCCATGCTGGCCGCTCCCCATCCCTGGGGGAATCACACCCAGCAAGGCAGATTTCCTTCCCTTCCGGCTGGCTGCCACCCACGCTGAGAGGGTGAGCCTGCTAAGGGGACACGGTCTGGCCTCCTCCACACCCCAGCCTCACTGAACACACTCCCTGGTGCCCACAGCAAAGACGAGGGCCAGGGAGGAAGCTGGCTCTACCCTCGGGAGGGCTTTATCCATTGTAATCTCTCCCTGTGCCAAACCCCTGCCTAGCGCAGCTAACCCCTGAGGAATCCCAGCCCTGGCCAGGGAAGAGGCATCCCTTTCCCACAGCCCAGAGCCCTCTGAAATCTAACCCCCCACAGCAGCTATACAGGGAGAGCCAGCCCTGCCAGCAGAGGTGCCAACTGGCACTGGCCTACACTACCCACTGCAGGGAGGGGGCTCGTTTCACAGCTGCTTGCCTTCAAAAGGAGAGTCTGTGCCAGCTGGGAGGGGTGGGGGAAGATGCCCTGTCTTCCAGACAGGTCTGCCTGCCAGCCTCCAGGATGCCAGCCAGGGTGGTCTGCCCCCAGCCTCCAGGGGGCACCAGCTGGGGGGTGAGAGGTTGGCCTGCCAGCCTCCAGGGTGCCAGCCGGGAAGGGTCATCCAGCTGGGAATGTCTGCCCCCAAGCCTCCAGGGGGCACCAGCCTGGGGGGTCCACTCACCAGCCTCCAGGGGTGCCAGCATGGGGGGGTGGCTGCCTGCCAGCCTGCAAAGTGCACCAGCCGGGGGGGTCTGCCCACCAGCCTGCCCCCCAGCTTCCAGGGGGTGCCAACTGGGGAGGTCTGTCCCACAGCCTCCGGGGGTGTCAGCCGGGGGGTCTGCCTGCCACCCTCCAGTGGTCACCAGTGTGGGGGGATCTGCCCACCAGACTCCAGGGGGCACCTGCTGGGGAGGTCTGCCCCCCCCCCCAACCTCCAGGGGATGACAGCCGGGGAAGGTCTGTGCACTAGCCTCCAGCAGGATGCAAATGGAGACTACACAAAGGATCCCATGCATCAGGTTGCCAGGCCCTGCACTTAGAATAACTTTGCTTGGCTCCCACCCCCTCAGTCCTTTTCTGCCCCTGAGTGGTCCCTGTGTTCAGCCCAGCAAGCCAGTGGAGCTCGGAGGTTAGAGGTGGAAAAGGCCCAGCAGCTCAGCCTGTCCAGCTCCTGGGGCCAGCCAGGATCCGGCCCTGTCAGGTGCTGTCCAGCCCTAGCTATAAAAAAGTGTTGAGGGATGGATCTCCCCTGGGAGCCAATCACCCAGCCCCTCCGATCTCACAGCCAGGCAGCTTCCCACGAGCTCCATCCTGAATTCCCCCTCTGCAGTGCGTCTCGTCAGGCGAGCTGAAGCTCTGGGCCTCATGGAAACAGAATCCAGAGCCGGAGGTCACCCAAGGCTACCTCCCTGGTTCCCGGACCAGTCCCTGCTGGACAGCGACTAGCAGTGTGGGGCCCAGAGCTGAACGCAATTACCCCAGGGGCTGGGGACAGCAAAAGAACCTAGGGGAAATGCCTCGGGAACAAGGCTGCTCAACCTAGGAGCGGCCCCACCGTGGGGATGCTGTGATGCAGAGGTCCGCAGAGGTGAAGCGCGAACGCCCAACCCCGCCCTCCGACCCACCTTGAGCCCCAGAGGGACTAGGCGGATTCTGGGGCTGGGCCAAGCTGGATACCCTCTGATCAAGAAGGGTGAAACTCACTGGGTCTGTCTGGTCCCTGTTCTGCCTGCACAGGTCCTTTGCAGTGGGAAGCCAGGGTCTCCAGAGCGGTGGGAATCTGCGAAGTGAGACAAGAAGAGGGGGTGAAGTGGGCCAGTCAGCGGTCATCAAGCCCAGGGTGCTATCATGCTGAGAAGCCCCAGCTCGTCACAGCTGATAGAGCCGTGGCATCACACAAGCACCAACGCAAATGCAGGCCCATAGTGCCTGCACACCCACACAGGGCAAGGGTGTTCTCAGCACTAAAATCCCCTGTCCTGCAGCCCCCCCACATTCACACACAAACGCAGCGATGCAGCCCCGTCCCCAGCCCTCCGCCTCCCCCGCTCCGGGGGATTTGTTTTTTGTGGGCAGACCCTGTCCCCAGACTGCCAGCGGTTTTGCAGGATGATCCTCGGAAGCCCTAAGCTTTGCAGTGCCAAGGGATGGTCGGGAAGGGGAAAGCGCTGCAGTCCCCACCCTAACCCTCCCCCAAAAGTAGAGCTCAGGGGCTAAGGGCTAGCAGTGACAGCAGGAGAGTTCCTGCATCGTGATCCTCTGACACAGCCTCAAGGTGTCCCCATCTGGGAGGTGGGTTTAGGGGCCTGTTTCTGAGCCCCCAGCGCAGAAGGGAAGAGAAGCACAAAGCCCTTATTAACAATCACAGACAGACGCACCCTATTCCGTATGACACTCCCCGCCACCACCCCTTTGCCAAAAGCAGCAAGACAGAGTGCCACACTTCCCCCTCTGCCGGCCCCGTCTCCTCTGACTCGGCTGCGCCAGCCACAGAGCGGGTAATGGGCTCTGTGGCCACAAGACCCTCATTACCTTCTGCCTTGTTCTTGGCCCTGCACAGGGCATCCACAGCCCCAGGCAGCTGGGGGGCCCCAGAGCCAGCCGGCCAGCCCGAGGGGAGCGTGGACAGAAGCATCCATGGTGTGAGCTGGCGAAGAAGGAGCAAGGTCTCTCTGTCTGGCCTGTCCTAGGAGCTCTTTATAGCCCTCCCAGCCTGGCTGGGGCTGGTGAAGGGGGAGAGCAGGAGGTCCCAGGGTGTCCAGCATGTCCCAGTTGAGTAAACAGTGGCTCAGCAGGAGGCTGGGGGGGCACCATCAGCTCCGGTGGAAAAACAAAACACAGAAGGGAAAAGTTAGACACCATTTGTGAGAAATGCCCCAGGGAGTCAGGGGGAGCGGGGCGGGGACAATTAATGAGGGTGATTAGGAGCTTTGTCCCCATTACCCTAAGGGAGGGGACTGGAGGGGCAGTAATGTGAGGAGGAAATGGGTCTGTGCAGGATGGCCCAGCTAATGGAGAGAAGGCCAGAAGGAAAGAGAGGGAGGAGAGAGTGACTTTCGAGGGAGGGGGGCAAGGAACAGAGGAGGGGAGGAGAGAGAGGCGTGAGATTTCAAGGCTGTAACAAAGGGGTAAAAAGGGAAGCAGGCCTGGCTCGGTACTAGTTGGGGGTTTCTCACTGCAGGCCCCATCCGGCTGCCAAGGGCACCCACAGGGCAGGGTCGGGCCTTGGGCTCAGAGTCCCTGCTCTCAAGTCACTGCTGTGTAGGCTGGACAGCACCAGGGCAGCCCAGAGATCCAGCCCCAGCAGCACCGGGCGGGGCGGGACGCACATAGTCAAAAGGATTTGCTGTCTGGGATGTAGGTGCGCGGGGAGCAGCCCTGCAAGGGAAAGCGACACTTCGGCTCCTCCTCCGGGGCTGAGCTGCATCACTGATTGCGGGAGAAACAGGCGACTGGTGCCTCTGGGGCAGCACAAGGCAGCCAGATCCCCCTAGGCCTGTGTTCTCTGGCAAGAGAGTGATGGATAATTCAGCAGGGGTGATCAATGGGGCAGCCCCATTGCAACTGGAGATTACAGGCCCTGCTTTTGTCTAGCTTGGTGTATTCCAGGACTTTCAGGGAGCCAGTTCCCGCTTCCCAGCCCCAAGGCTCAGCAGGAGAGACTCTTTCCCAAGCATTCTGCCCTCCCAGCCTAGCATGGGGCTATGCCACTGCTAGGGGCAGCCCTGTGCGTCTCCCTAAATGAGCTTGTTTTCAGCTGGGCATTGCCAGCAGGCGCTGGGCTGTTAGCAGGGGCTCCCTGGGGAGCGGGTCTCTGGAATTTCCCTGGCAGACCAGCCTCGCAGAGCCCTCTCACCCGCCCAGGGGGGACAGTCCATGCACCTTCCACTAAGCCCCTGCCAGAGCTGCCTTCCCAGCACTGGGCAACTTGCCCCCTTCCCACCTTGCCCCTTCTCACTGACAGTGCAAAGGGCGTGCAAAACCGGCCCAGAGCCAAACAGCACCATTTCTCCCCTGCTCTGTACAAGGGATATGCTGCACAGGGCACAAGGCTGGGACCAACCAGGCCCCATGACTCATGCCCCCCCACGCCGCTCTACTTCCCAGTCTGCCCGTCACCCGATTCCTCCCCTCTGGCCTTGGGGAGGCATTGCTCTAGTATCTGCAACACCAGAGGGAGCCTCTGATAATGATAGCCCCGAAGGGGCCCTAATGAAGCTTTAATAGGATTTGTTACAGGCCTCTGATTAACACTGACTCTGCAATGCATCCGCTGAAGTGAGCTGTAGCTCACGAAAGCTTATGCTCAAATAAATTGGTTAGTCTCTAAGGTGCCACAAGTCCTCCTTTTCTTTTTGCGGATACAGACTCACACGGCTGCTACTTGGAAAACTGGCTCTGCAGTGACATCTCCACCTCCCGCCCTGGCCGGGCCAGCTTCCCCTTTACCCAGCCCTGGGAAATCTCTACCCAGGCTGGGGCCACAGCCCCCACTTCCCAAGCCCTACCTTTGGGCCAGGAGGAAGGAGTTGGAGGGAATTTTCCCAGCTGAGTCAGCACAGCCTGGAAAAAACCTACAGGGAGGGACTTTGCACACGGCACACCTCAGAGCACCTGAATCGCTAAGCGTTGCAAGCCCTGAGTCAGCCTAATGCTGGGCTGGGGGCACGGTCTCCCCTTCGGAGCTGTATCAACCCCGGCTTACGCTGGGCCCTTCCTCACTGTGGCAGCTGAATTTTTCACTCACCTCCGAGGCTGCACACCTGGAAGCCACCACTCCAGTTCTTTCCTGTCCATGGTCACAGAGCAGGGATCCTACTTCAACAGGTGTTGGCCACTAACTCTGCTCCTGGCAAAGCTATCATTGGCCCTGGAACAAGAAGCTGGGAAAAGGATCCTATGGACAATCCAACTACGGAAAATGCCTGGAGTGACTATTTCTGAGCCGAGCACTGCAGGACTGAGCATGCTGATGACCTATAAAGTGTGCAGCACACCCAGTGATCACACAAGAGTCTCAAGCCATGAAGCCGTCCCTGCTTTCAGTGCAGAAGCTCACTCGTGTCTGATTGTTAATACTTGGTGCTCGATTTCTTGGTACAAGCTACTCCTCAGCTCTGTAAAACATGTCATTTAAAGTTTACTCCCCAACAGTATCTACCGTTACCAGAGAACTCGTCAGCTGCAGCTCGCCCAGCCCTTTACACAGGGGAGATCAATAAAACAAATCAAAGGGTAGCCCAAGCAGAGATGGGACACTTCAAAAGGAGCCAGGCCAGAGATTCCAAGTCCCCTAGGAACTTCCCCATTGCTATCAATTTCATATGGAAGGTGCCCACATACAACGATGATGGACAGCAGTATAAAATCATTAGCTAGACTGTATTGTTAGCCCCATTTTACAATGGAGGAAGCTCAGACATGGGGAGGGAAAGGCCCACAACCTCAAAGGTATTTAGGCACCTAGCTCCCATGTCAAGGGAATTTCAATGAGTGCCTAAATACGTTTGAAGATCGGAGCCTACGTGACTTGCTCAAGGTCACTCTACAAGTCAGTGTGGGCTTTGACAGCCATGAGACATCTCCTTTCTGGGCCCACGTGACCACTGGACTGGTGCTGTCCTTCCACCTGCCCATTCGCATAGCAGCCTGCCATGGAGGTGACCCAGCTCCCACTGCTTGTTCAACAGAAATAATCAAGGGAAAGAACTTGGGGATTCAGTGCACGGATGGGACCCCAGCCCTGGCCTACTCCCCCACCACGCTGGCTGCTCCGATGCCTCCGACTGCCCTTTGATTCCAAACATGAGGGGACTGTGCTCTGGTCTTTTTATGGCACATTTAGGGGATCAGTGCTGCTCGGCCCTGGGGAGTCACGGGTGTTATTCCCCCTCCCAACCGTGTTTGCTCAGGTGCTGTAAAGCCAGAAATGTTACCTTCTCTGTGCAGGGCCTCTCCTCCATCCCCACCCCCTGGGGCTGAGGAGCCATGCAGCTATCCATATGGGAGCCTGGGCTATGGGGCACTTCACATCACGCACCTGCCGGCTGAGACCAGGGGAAACTGATGCAGGCAGGCAGGAAAACAGCATGCGTCTGATTCCAAACAAGGCTCATTGTGCAGAGCTGCTGCCGGGTGTCGTACAGCAGGGAAAATAACCCTCATTCCAGGGACATTCCGTTTTAGGGTCTGATTTGGGGGGGACTTCATGCCAGTTGCTTCCCACCCCTTTGCCTCCATTCCCTGCCCTCATTCTAACCCCAGATTAACTGTCTTTCACTTTGAAACAGAGTCAGCAACCATCCCCCTCAGCCTCAGCATAACAGTACAGCAAGAAGCACATGGGCCTTAGCTGATGTAGAATACAGGGCATGCAAAGAGGTAAATAAAAGCAACCTAAACACGATGCTGTAGGATGCCCCACCCTATCCCAGGAGACCCACTCCAAGGATATGCCTCTTCCCCGTTTGCTATTCTCATCATCGGGTGAGACCCGGCTTAGAAACACTGGTAGGGTGGGGACGGGGGCAGGAGGCAAAGTGGGGTCACAGGTCAGCCCCCTCTCTCAAGATGCCTTGAGCGTGGGAGAAGAAAAGAAAATAGCAAATGGTCCCGTCCAGCCTCTGCCTTCTGCGTCCAGCTGTCCCAAATGCTCCGGCTCTGGGAACAAGCATTGCAGGCTTTGCTGGGCCCTTCTGGAGAACACAATTTGTCACCCCCGGGGCTTCCCTCTGCCCCCCATTTGTGACAGTGGTTAGGCCTTTGCCTGCACTGCAGCCTGTGCAGGGCTTCTTACATTTCCCCATTTGTTTCTCATTTGGGCCAGGAGTCTTAGAATAACAAACCCTGGGGAGGGCGGAGAAGGCTGCTGCTGAGAGAGGTATTTCAGCCAGTCAGTCCAGATCCCCCGTCCTCCTCCCCTCCCCGCTACCCTGCTCCAGAGAGCCCTGCAGCCTCTGGGAACTAGCCTGAGTGCCCCATCACCTTTGTTACACTGGTGGGGGGGAGGGGGGAATCACATTGGGGTTATTTGTACGCACCAGACAGACAGACACCATGGCACAGATATTCAGGATCCCCTCCCCTCCGGTTCACAATGCTGAGGATCTGTGTTTAGGGGCACTCCAGCTTGTGTGTGCATTCACACTCCTCCCTCTAACCCTCAGGGTCTGCCTAGCCAGGCTGCGCGTGCAAATGCCGCTTGCACACACAAACCAGAGGGCTGGGGAGACGCGGGGATAACAGTCCTTCCCTGCCTACCAGGAGCGTTAGGACACTAAATATATTACAGGTTGTGCAGTGCGCAGATGTGAGGGGGCGGTTAGGAAAACATGGGCCTGCCCTGGAGTAAAGAGAGCGAGCGCTGAGCTGGCATGCCCTGGGCATTGCTGAGCTCTGTGTGGGAGCCTTAGCCAGCCTTTAGCCACGGCATCCTCACCCAGGACTCAGTCTTGCTCTCACTGCCGGCATGAGGGGCTCTGCCATCGACTTCAGTGGGCGCAGGCCGCCGTTTTGTCCTTCCCACTGTTTCTGATACTGGATGAGCAACTGTTGCCTTTCAGCTCGTTTTCCTCCATCCTGTTCAGGAGCCTGAGTTGTTATTGTAGGGTTGCTCAGGAGGAATAGACGCCTTCTCCCAGCCGGATGACTTGGCCCCCTGTCGATGTTGTCTTGGGCCAACTCTTGGCGGTGTGGGGACACTTGCTCCTGCTAATACAGAGCCTTCCATTCCCCTGGAGTGCCCTGTGTACCAAACCCAAGCTCATCGCCGGCCAGCAGCTTCGACCCCGACGCTCCGATAATCAGAGGGGCTAGGCACCCGTAATTCCACCTGGAGTCAGCCAGGGACACAGCTGCCCAGCATGATGGAGAATCAGGCCCTACAGGCTAGCCCTGGGCAGGCAACCCACAAGCTGAGCCACAGCAGGCCAGAAGGGGGCGCTGTAGAATGGCACGCCTGCCCCACAGCGTCCCCTTTCTGGCCTGGTGTGCCTCAGTAGCAGCCTGCATCCGATCTCTTCTTTGCACCCCTTATTAATTCCTCACGGGCTTTATTTTTGTCCAGTAGCTCCCCTTCTCCCAGGGTCTAATTTAATGGCCTAAATCACACAACAATGCGCAGTCCTGGGGCTTCTCTTTTCTCCCCTGATCTGCTCTCTGCAGCACTTCCCTGCCTTGGCAATCCACTCCTAGCCCTCCCTAACTCCAGTCTTTTCTATTCCTGCTCACCTGGCTCTCAGCCCTCACCTCTCTGCAGCCTGCAGGAGCCTCCCAGCGTCTGCAGCCCTCTGCTTCATTCCTCTTTACGAAGACCACAGTGCCTCCCCGTAAGCCCCAATGGCGCAGCAGGTCGGCAGCCCCGGTGCACGGACCCCTGCTCCCTCTTCACGGGCCCCGTCACCCTGTGACACCTGGAAACCTCCCCTCCCCCGCCACTCCATCCAAACCTCACGTAACTGGCTCACTTTCTACCTCTACCTGCCCACACCTGCCCCCCTCCCCACCGCTCACATTGTATTTTATACAACAGCCATGGTACAAACAAGCCAGACGCGCACGCCCCAGCTCAATCCCTTTGCCATCACGACTGCAGCCCTTCCCCACCTCCCTTGGTTTATACTTGGCTGTTGTAGTTCACAAGCTCTTTGGTTCAGGGACATTGTCTCCCTTACTCAGGCTCATTAAATCAACTCGTGGTCACATGAGGGGGCCTGACAACTGCACACCATAGCAACCTGCCCTGTCATGGGATCCAGCCCAATTGCTTCGAGCATGTACCGCCTGGCTTCCTACGAATGGAAACTGGCCATGGTGACCAT